ACTTTTAGTCCTGTTGTTAAACCCACCACGGTTCGCATTGTTCTTACATTAGCTATTTCTTTTAATTGGCCTATTCATCAGTTAGATGTTAAAAATGCTTTTCTCCATGGTCATCTCACAGAAGAGGTTTACATGCGTCAACCACCCGGGTTTGTTCATCCTCAATTCCCTAATCACATTTGTCGCTTGCGCAAGGACATTTATGGCCTTAAACAGGCTCCCCGGGCATGGTTTCATCGGTTCAGTAGTTTTCTCCTCACTCATGGATTTGTATGTAGTCGTGCTGATAATTCCTTGTTTATTTTTCGCCAGGCTACACGAATCATTTATTTTCTCTTATATGTGGATGACATTATTATCACTGTCAGTTCCTCTACTCTTATTAGTAATTTTATTTCTCTACTAGGGGAATATTTTGTTATGAAAGATTTAGGGGATATTCATATTTTCTTGGGGGTTCAGGCTATGCGGAATTCTTCTGGTTTATTTTTGTCTCAGGCCAAATATGTGTCAGATCTTCTCACCTGGTTTCATCTTCATACACTTAAATCTGTTCGCATGCCTTTACCTACTAGAAACAAGCTATCTCTCACTGATGGTGAGTTACTTGCTGATTCTACTGAGTACCGTAGCATGGTAGGTGCATTGCAGTATTTAACTATGACTAGACCTGATATTACATATGTTGTTCACTTGGTGTCTCAATTTATGCATGCTCCTTGTACCTCACACATGTTGATTGTTAAGAGAATTTTCAGGTATCTATAGGGCACTAAAACTCATGGTTTACATCTCCCACCGTTGCCGCACCCACACTCGGTTCTGGCATACTCCGATGCTGATTGGGCTGGTTATCCTGATAGTAGTCGTTTCACGTCTGGCTATGCTGTTTTTCTTGGTCCTAATTTGATTTCATGGCGGTCCAAGAAACAACCTACTGTCTCCCGCTCATCTACTGAGGCTGAGTATAGAGCCATTGCCTACACAGTTCAGGATACATTACACATTCGGTCCATTTTATTTGAGCTCAGCTTTCCTCTTTCACGCCCGATTCGATTGCTATGTGATAATGTATCTGCTTCATATTTATCTGCTAATCCCATCCAGCATGCTCGCAGTAAGCACATTGACATTGATTACCATTTTGTTCGCGAACGTGTGGCTCATGGTGATCTCCTGGTGCAGTATGTTCCTACGAAGTTTCAGTTAGCTGACATCTTCACCAAGAGTATGGCTCCTCAGCAGTTTTTATTTTTACGAGACAAGCTACGCATAGTTCCTCCTGCATAGATTGAGGGGGTGTAATAGTGAAATAATTAGAAGTTAATTATTAGTCAGTTTCCTTATTGTACTTGGACACTTGTTACATATAAATATACTCTCAGGGCTACCAGTCTGGTTAAGCATGTTCATTATTCTCACATTTAGCCCATTGTGTATTATTACATAGTTATTTAATTAATATTAGGAAAGTGGTGTATCACATTCCTAATGTCGGTTCAGTATCTCTTGTACTGTTCTGGGATATCAAACGCATATGCGTATGTATCCCAGTCTGATACAATCGATCAGGAAGTTTGGCTAAGCTTGTATTGCATCCATACATTCTTTAAGAGAAGCTAGAGTTGCGCTGCTGGTTTCAGGAGTTGTTCTGTTCATCTTATTCTTATTACTTATTGCATATTCTTATTTTATTCAGATCAGAAAAAATCAAATCAAATCAAAAAGATTCTAATCAGATTAAATCAGAAGCATTCATATCAGATCAGAAAGATTCAGATCAGAAACATTTAGATTAGATCACAAAAGTTCAGACATGATTTATCCCTTTTATAATAATAATAATAATAATAATAATAGTAATAATAATAATGATAATGATGATGATGATGATGATAATAATAATAATAATAATAATAATAATAATAATAAAAGTTCAGATTAGATTTTATTATTATTTTTATATAATTTTTTATTACATACTTATTCGTACCTTATTTATTAATTAATATATTACAAATTGTGTGATTAAAACTTGTTTCATGAAATTGAATTTATATTGACTGTCATATGTTTTCTTTAAAATAGATGTAAAAATAGGTTTTAGGTGAAAAGAAAAATAAAGTATATACACAGTATAATATTTTGTGGAGTGAAAAAAATTGTAGAGTGGATAATTCGTTATTAAGTTGATTTTAGACTTATTATTCATAATAGGGAAAGTTCCCGAAATACGACTAAAACAGTTTGAAAATTCCAAAATAGGACTGTCATGTTTTTTATTCCCAAAATAGAACTAATTACTGGCATGTTTAGAAAATACTGCCATGTTTGAAGTCTGGTACTGCCAAAACATGACAATTATTAGTCCTATTTTGAGAATAAAAACATGGCAGTCATATTTTGGAATTTTCAAACTGTTTTAGTCCTATTTCGGGTAATATTCTCTTCATAATATTGTTCACTATTCACTGTTTGTGAATGTGTGTGATATATTATTTCAATGTAAATTCACTCCCCTTGAAAATATTCATGTATATGCCACTGCCCATAACAATAAAGAGTAATATTTTATTTAAGTATAAACATATGGTATTATTTTTATATTAAGTATTACAGAGTACATTTTAATCTCGTTCGAAATTGATTCTGCATCTACTTCTTTTTAAAAGCCACAACAAGAATCAGAATCAGTTTTCTAGAAGTTGGTCCCCCAAGCTTCTAAAAAACAACGTCTAAGAGCAATATGGAGCACTCAGAAAGTACTTGCACCTAATCACTACAATATCAGCTTCTGATCCCTGAAGGAGCACAAACAGTTTTCATAAGTAGATTCAAACACCCCCTTAGCCATTTTTTAACATGTGCATAAAATCCCTTCATGTACAATTGATGATACCATGAGCGACCCCCTCTTCTTTGTACCCATGGATGACCTATAAAGATTTAATTTAATTGTGAGAGTAGTAAGAGTTGAGATTGAGGAAATAAATTTTAATGGTAGTAAGCGTATTCAATCCTCCGTATTATATAGAGTCAAAGGCAGCATGAGGGTAAATTCACTAAAGCTACCGCTTTTACCCGCACGAGTAGCGTAATTGGTAAATCGGTGGAAAAGTTGGACAAATGACCAAGGATCAAAATCTGCAGCGACCGTATGGAGGTCATAGCTCCTGCTGGACTGGACCTCTGATGCGCATGGGTATAAAGTCTACCACCGTTAGGATTGGTTGAGTCACCGTAATTTACAACCTCCCATATGCTCTATCGGATCGGGGCGTGGGGGGGCCTTGGGGTTGGGATTGAGGATTCAACCTTTTGGACAAACTAAAGCTAATGCTTTAGGTTCAAATAAGGAGGGCTTTTCACACCATTAAATATTTAAAGTGATTCAACACTATCTAGTAAGGAACTTAAGTCGTCAAACATCGGTCACACTTCATATCTTAGAGAATAAAAAACATTTAGAATTGTAACCTTTAGATCATTTCCCATATTATTAAAATTATATCAAATTTTGAGAAGCTTTAATATAAAACCTCATATATTACTCTTTGTTTTCCCCATCTACTAGACAACCTCCATAAGTATCAATAATGCTACTTATACGTATTCTTTTAGTTAACTGTTCGGTCGGTGTCGGGGGCCTTCAGGGATGGGATGTCATCTTTTTTTTTTTAAATAATGCTACTTGTACACAAATGTTGTACACACTTCCCACACCCTATATAAAATCCCCACTTTTTTATCCCTCCTTCTCTCCCCTCTCATGTATACAAACACCTCCCCCGTTTCCTCTTCTTTTCCCCCATTTTCATCACCTTCACATCCACCATCACCATCTCTCCGTCTTCTTCGTTCATTACACCTCCATCTTCACCATCTCCATTCTCTTCACTACATCTCCACCTTCACCATCTCCATCATCTTCCACTTCCATATGTCTCACCCCATATTCATCATCTCTCATCTTCATCATCTTCCATATTCATCACCTCATCATCTTTACCATTATCATCTTTTAGAGTCCATTTGGGAACAAAAAATTTGAGTCGCCGGAATTAAAGTCACCAGAAAAGTATACATGAACATTCACAAAATTTTTGTTGTGTATACAGACACTCCTTTTTTCAATATTCGTGTACACAGACAAAATTGTTAAGAATAGACAAAAAAAAATACAAATTGTTTGTGTACATACAAATAAATGTCTGTGCGTAGACATTGTTTTGCATGATGTGTCGCAAAAATTCCAGTTTGGTTGCACGGAAACCAACGTCTATACACAGACATTTAGTTGTCTGTATACAAACAATTTTTAAGTTTTTTTGTGTTTAATAATTTATCTGGGAACACAGACAAAATTATACAATACAAACAAACAAAATATTTTTTTAGAAACAAAATATAAAAATTGTCCATGTACAGACAACTAAATGTTTGTATATAGAGATTGAGTTCCGTGTTGTATGGCAGAAATGACAGTGTTGCACGGAGTAACATTTTTGTTTAAGCACACAGACACTGAAAAAACCAATGTCTTTATACACAAATAAAAATTTCGGCGAATTAACTCTAAATTTGTGGTGACTTTCCGGCGAGTCAAATTTCTTGTTTTTCCGATTCTAGAAGCTAATAATGGTAAAAATGATGAAGTGATGGATATGTAAGATGGTGAAAATGATGAGATGATGGGTATGGAAGATATGGAAATTGAAGATGATGGAGACAGTGAAGATGAAATATTATAAGATGATGTTAGTGATGAAAGATCAAGATGAAGAAGATAGGAGATGATGAAAAATTCTTTGGTGAAGAAGTATTTAATTCTATTAAATTGGAATCTAAATTCTTTAAGTTCGGAATAAAAAACGAGGAAATCACAATTTTTGAGATCAAGAGATCTCAACTTCACAAGATTAGTTTTAATCTTGAACTGGCTCCTCAAATCATCCGTTACATTTATCAGCTCACAACAGAAGATTTTTTCTGTCGGCAATTGAGGCGATTTGGACCTATCTCGGTCTCATCAAATTTTAACAAGGCTGGTGGCTTCATAACAATGGCCAAAGATAATGGATATTTCATTGCGATCCCAGTGGGTCCACAAAATTCAGGGCTACTCGATTTTCTAGCGATATTTTCAAACTTCGTGGGAATTTCTAATTTAGAGCTGGAGGAACCAATGCACCGCTCTCAAGAAACCTCGTTAATTACAGAGGAACCCACATCCATATCCAAGCTCATTTTTGATTTTCAAATTCAGGGAGCCTATCTAGAGAAACATTGGTCTCCACCTCCCGAGAAACAGAACAGGCTTATTCAGGCATTTTCAGATGCTTCAGACTGCTTTTACCACTCAGATGGCTCTTTTTACATGGACGACTTTCTGGGACATGCTACTGAAAGTGACCGTCGTCCACCTATCTCAACTCCAGTAGAAATTAAGAAATCAAAATTCAATAGGGCAATTTGCAGAAAATCCAAGTTTCTTACCGCAGAAAACTGTCTGCCGACAGACAATTTGAACACACAACTCAAGAGATACAGGAAATCACAAAAAACTAAAAGGCACCACAGTATGAAGACTAGGTCTCAGTCTAGAGAATTCTCTTCGATTTAGTTTTGAGGCTTTTCCTTCCCTGCACTTTTATTGTTTTTATTTTCTTTCCTTAGTTTATTTTTCGCATTGTACTAATTTTACTCTATCAATAAAAATTTCCTTTTTCCAAAAAAAAAAGATAGGAGATGATGAAGATAGAAATGGAACAAAGAGAAAGAGGAAGGAGTTGGTTGGGGGAGAAGCGTATGGAAGAAAGAAACAAACAAAGAAGAGAATGGGGAATGGTGTACATCAAGAATGGTTGAAAGAAACAAAAATGATGTTTGTACACGCTCTTATACACACTTTTGTACACACCTATGTCTGTGAAAGCTTTTTTTTTGTCTGTGAACATCGATTCACAGACAATGTTTTGCACAAACAAAATATTGTCTGTGAATCGGATTCACAGACAAAAAAAAAGCTTCACAAACATGGTGTGTATAAAGTGTGTACAAGGGTGTGTACATAGAAACCCTTTTTGACTCTTCTATACATAGGTGGTCTGGTATCGCTCCTCTATTTAGTATGGCCCACCAAATTGATTCAACATGCAAATTTGTCAGTCGTTGAAACGTTGAATTGATCTAATGGTTCAAACCACGTGGTGACATTTTAGTAATAAAACCAAACTAGTTTCGGGTGCCACTGTTATTTCATTGCAGAAAAATTTGCATCACATTAATTATTAATATGCAATACATATAGGGTAAAGATGCATCACACAAAATTTTACACAATAAATACACTTTGTACTAGATCCGCCCCTATAAATATGTCAACAATGCATCAAATTTGGTTAGAAAAGCATTGCATTTTCGTAATTAAGTGGAAAATTTTGGCACCACCAAAACTGCAATATGGAACCAAAATGTGATTAAACACATTTTTTATTTGAACCACACTCAATATAATTTTTCACAGTGTATATATATGTATATACACACACTCACACACACATAAGGAGCCCTTTTTGACTCTTTTAAAATGGGAAAATTGCTCTTAAAGGAGTAAAATAATCTCAAAATGCAACAAATAAGACTGTTAAGTTCCACACTGGATATCTATGAGAGAATTAATCACTATATTAAGATCTAAGTTATTCCTCCTATCAGGTTGACCTTTTAGGATGAAATCCCAGATCTTAACTTAGTATAAGAGCCAAATCGATCCATAACCATGGTGTGTGCCCCTTATGTAAAATGATGGCACAATTATAAAAAAGTGCAATGACGAATTGCTGAATAAATAAATGAAGGCACAATCTAGACAAAGCGTCTGGTCGTGATAAGGAGTGTTAAAGTCCCACACCGATATCTATGAAAGAATTAAACACTATTAATATCTGAATTACTCCTTCTATAAAGTTGACATTTTAGGATGGAATCCAGATCTTAACACACTATAATGTTAATGTTCCCAAAATCAGATTTAATTGTGCCCCACTTGCACATTCTACCTCTACCATAACTTCATGAAAAGTAAGTTTTCATTTACAATAAAAACAGAAAAATATTTTAGTTTTTACTCCATAATAAAATTGTAAAAAAAAACTAAAAATTTAAATAAATTAAAAAACATACTTCCTCCGTTCTCTTTTAATTGTCCATTAATATCTTTCATTCCTTATTAGTAAAAAATTTAAAAAATTCATATTTTGAAAATTTAGAATGAGAATAATTTAACAATATTTTTTAAAAAGTGAATTTATAATACATTAATTAATACAATATAGTCAAATTAGAATATGTGAATAGTGCAAAAAGTCCAATGTTGCAATTAAAAAAGAACGGTAAATAAATAATTGATGCTCATAAAAAAAATATGGAGCGCTCTCTTGCCATTTCTACTATCTCTGATTGCCAAAGAAATGTCATCTTCTATATAAAAGAGCTTTTTCTATGAAAATGATATAAAGATGACATTATTACTTTTTGAAAAGCCAAAACTTGCTCTGGAATTGCCATCAAGAAGACCTTTTTATGGAAGTTGGCATTTTTCTAGTGGCCAGAGTTGGCGGTGCGGGAAGGTGGTTGAGGCGGTGGTGGGGCCCTCCATAATGCTTTTAGTTTATTTACAATTAATTATTTACTTTTTATTATTTAAGACTTAGTTTTCAATTTTTTAATTTTATATAGTTTAGTTATTTGTAAATGGAAAATCACATTTTCTGCCCGTCAAATAGTATTACATTGAAATGTAGTCCCCATATATTCAAATTTTGAAAAGTTACCCTCAATTGTCCAAATTGTTGTACATGTGATCCTTTGAGGGATGACATTTACAATGTGGGCGATGAACACATTTACAATAATTCGCACGGTTCTGGGGTGACATTTACGCATTTAAAAACACATGGAACTACCTTCCAATGCAGCACTATTTGAAGAATTGAAACTGCGTTTTCTTTTCTCTTTATTACATTTTTATTATAAATAATAATATTTAATTATTGTTATGTTTTTATTATTAATAAAAAGTATGATTTACTTATTAAAATATGGAAAGGGTAGGATAAGAAAAGTTACTCTAATCAGGGAATTTAATACTTATGATTCTATTATATTATTAAAAGGGAAAAATAATATAATTACCCCAAACTTTGAAGGGGTGTGATAAGTACCTCGAACTTGCATATGTAATATATATACTCCGAACTTTATATAAAAAGTTATTTTCGCACTCTGATTGTATGCTTTTCTTACAAGTTTAAATTTATTGGAAGAAGTACATAATTTAAAATAATCTAAGCTTTGTTTGAATGCAATTAACATTATAAAATTTCATTTGTGAAATAAATAATAATACATCGGATACAATCTTATTGTAATTGCATCCTCATAAAAACACATATGAGGAAAAAACCTAACACATGTAGTATTTAATCAGTGTGCTAACTACATAACTTTTTATATAAAGTTTGGAGTATATATTACATATATAAGTTTGGGTGTTTACCTCACACCCTTTCGAAGTTTGAAATATTTAAATTATTTTTCCCTTATTAAAATTTAGCATTTATTTATTCATATATTTGGAGAATTACCCCTTCAAATATTTGAATTTAACCTACATTAATTAATTGATTAATAAAAAAACTTACTAAGAACTTGATGAGCGGTAAGTCGTTCATTTGGATTTGGATTAAGCATTTTTTTTACTAGATCTTTAGCTTCATTTGAAACGTCTGGCCAAGGAGGGCGCTCGTAACAAACTTCAGCATGAATAATTGCTTCACGCAATTCATCTGTATTATCTGAATGATAAAATAACCATTAAACGTGAGTGTATAAAAGAGAATAAATTGAAAGAAGCAAATTGCAAAAGCATTGTCTTTAATAATCTGAAATTTGATAGATCGACTTAAAATAGTTTAGCATGAGGGTGCATGTTTACCTTAAGACTCTTTAATCCCACTTTTTTGTTTCATAATGTGGATCCTCAGTACTCTAACATCAGTTAATATATGTCAATTCTGCTTCTAATTACTATTGGTATTTGGTGCCCCACACATAAGTTCATTTTTTGATGTTTTAATAGAGGGAGAATTTGAGTTTGCATCTAATTTTATTGTTCAAATTGGACTTTGTACTACGTTTTTCAAAAAACTTTGTTTTTGTGTTCCAACCCCGAATGAAAAGACAAAATTGCCTCTCCATTAACAATTTTATTGGCCTTCAACATACTCCTGATCGAGGGACATTTTTGCATGTTCATACGTGGTTGAGGTGCAATTACAAAGTTTTTAAAAAACGGGATGCAAAGTTCAATTTGGACAATAAATTAAAATGGGGTACAAAATCAAATTCTCCCTTTATTAAATATTGTTAACATCGACTACTAGTTATTCGACAACACTATTACTCACTTCATCCCTTAAAACTTTGCCATCTTTCCTTTTTGGAACGTCCCAAAAAACTTTGACACTTATCCTTTTAATTAATTATTTAGTGATTTCTGTTATTTCTCTTTCCTCTGCACAAACCTCAACCACACAGTTTTTACTTTATTATTCTCCATACCGGTCAACTTTGACAAAATTTTAAGGAACGGAGGTAGTATTTTATAACACGCAAATAATTTATTTTGAACAATTTGTGTTAAAATGTTTTTACTTGGATTGTTTCCAGTCCCAGACCAGACCAGTCCAAACTCCAGACCAGTTCAACTAGACCAGACCAGTCTTGGATAGTTATAAAATATATAGACATCAGACGTTCCCAGACCAGACCAGACCAGTTCAAATCAGACCAAACCAGATCAGTCCAGACCAGAAAATTTCAATCCAAGTAAAAACATCCTTAATACAAGTATTTATTATTGAAGTGCTAATTTATTATATTTCGTAGATTTTATAATATACTAGTAATTCGTAAATGTTAGCGGTTAAAATTGATTTAGTTTGAGGATCTTGACAACAAAGAAGAAATTTAAATTTGGAATAGAGAATATATGATATGAAAATATGTAGCCAAAACATGGAGTTTGGGTGTATTTGGAAAATGACATTTCCTTCAAAAGCTAGCAGGTTAGACCTTTTATCAATTATTCAATATCAACCGCACAATTACATAGACTTTTTCTTAAAAGGTTTGCCACACCCTCTTGTTCCAAACATAGTGGGACATATGTAGTACTTTTTAGTGTATTATTGGAACTTGGAAGGAATTACTAGGATAAAAATTCCACAAATAGTATTGTGTTTGATTTCACGTTTTGAAATAGAAGATTATCCACTAAAAACTACGACAAAACAACCAAATTATCAAATATCTAGCTCTGTGCAACTCATAAACTCATTCCGCTAGTCATTCAAACAACAGAAATGCAATCAACGATCATCAGCTAACATAATCTGTTAATCGCTAATTGCATATCACGTCATTTAATTGAGTGTTTGCCTTTAATTATGTAGGAGTATGTAGAGTATGACCACTACCATACCTTTTCTGAAAGGAGCTATACCACAGAGAAGAATGTAGAGTATGACCCCGGCGGCCCAAATGTCAACCTCTGGATCCTGATTGTTGCCCATTAAAACTTCGGGAGCCACATAGTGTCGAGTGCACGAACTAAGTTTACATGTATCGCCTAGATAACATGAAAAGTAAAATACAAAAACAAATGTTACAAATTACAATAATATACTTCCTCCGTTCTTAAATAAATGCAACGGTCAACATTTCACACTTGCCGAGACACAACTTTGACCATTAATATAAATGATTTTGTATTAGTAAAAAAATTAAAAAAATTAAATTATGAAAATTTACAATGAGACAAGTTTAACAATATTATTTTCATAAAATAATATTATTACATTAATAAATAAAACGTAGTCAAAGTAGAACATGTGAATAGTGTAAAAGTCAAAGTGTTGCATTTATTTAAGAACAGAGGTAGTATAAGAGTATATCCAAGTCAAGTATAAAAAATTAATACTGCCAAATTTCGACTTTTATGCCCCATATTTAACTAGCCTTAATTATACTCGGTATTATTTAATTTGTAACTGGCGGTTTCTAAACGTTTCAAGTGTTTCATTGACCTGGGTAATTTTCTCCCCAAAAGTAACATTATATTAGTTTCTTACTTTCTTTGTGTATAAATAAGTTGTCAATTGAACTCTTAAAAAATACGGAAGTCCCTTTTAATGCCAAACCAATTGTTGAATTAGGATGTTTTTACTCTTGGACGGTAATTTGCTGGTCTAGTCTGGTCTGGTCTGATCTGGTCTGTCTGGTCTGGTCTGGTCTGGTTTCTTTGTATTTTCATAACTATCCAAGTCTGGTCTAATCTGGTCTGGTCTGAACTGGTCTGGTCTGGTCTGATCTGGTCTGATCTGGTCTGGGACGAATTACGGTCCAAGTAAAAACATCCTTATTCTTCACCAAATATATCAACAAAAAGTATTTTCTGTATACACGGCATGGGCTGATTTGAATAAAACTTTATTCTCATTTTGTTGCGTTGTTTTGTATATATATGTGGATATATATTGGCATCTATGCGTGCTGAAAAATGATTTGAAGGATTCAAGGAGTAACAAGTACAAATGTTTTTATACTTTTCTGAAAAATTCATCTTCAAAAAATTCTATACTAAAACCATAATATTGTCTTTGGGTTCATATATTCTTTTATTCTCGTTAGTTTTGTGACCGGTTTTATAATTGAAGGGCTCATAATTATATCCTACAGAAAATTTTTGTACGCTAGAAATAATTCCTTAAGACAGCGTCTAACACGTCTCGACCTACTAATATACTTTTTGTTCTTTTTAGTAAATATTATGTAAGTCAATTCTCCGAGCTAGATAATTAACGAGGTCAACTTACGAGCAACTCGGTCAACATGTTGATTTCGTAGGAATAAAGCCAAAACTACTAAGATTTGATCTATCATGTTTTGCACGAGTCTTTATATTTTGCGAAGGGTTTATCAGGTGTTAGAAGAAAAAATAACTCAAGATGAAATTTAGAGATAATGAAGGAAAGTAAAGCATGAAAACAGTTATTTGGACAAACATCCAACTCACAACCTTGAATTAGAATAACATTTTGTCAATGATTTGAGCATATGTTTTTGAATACAAATACATATGAAATCAATCAGGTCTCATGAGAGATATAAATAAAGTAGCTACAAGTATTGTGAAGACATCGTGACTAGAATATGAGAAGATCAAGGTGAAATCAAACGTGTAAGATAGATAATCAGTATGTTGTTGAAATTTCAGGATGAAAACCTCTCACCATTTCAGTCTGTTGAAATCCCATACCAAAAAATTGTGAAGTAATAAAGTGCTATATTAAGATCTAAGTTACTCCTATCAGGTTGACCTTTTAGAAAGGAAGTTCAGGTGTTAACAGGGTATCAGAGCCAAGTCCGATTGTGATTTAACTGCTCGTTTAACACCCATGATTAAGGGTAAGCTTGTTAAGGGTCTATTTGGCCCATTTATACACCCCGATATTGTCAAGCCCTGTTCAGACTGATGGGCGTGTTAAAGCATTTGTCTCACACCGGAAAACTATAAAACAATAAAAACACTATATAAGACTCTAGGCTACTTCTCCGATCAGGGTTAACCATTTTGGATGGAACCTCAGATCTTAACATGGTATCACAGACAAATCGATCCATAACCATGTTGTGAGCCCCCTATGAAAAAATCACAATGAATATAAAAAAATGACAATGATGAACCGATGGAAAAAATGAATGATGACACGATCCAGACGATGTGTCTGGTCGTGACGAGGGATTCTGAAGTTCCACATCAGAAAATTTTGAAATAATAAAGTATCATATTAAGATCCAAGTTACTACTCCTATCAGATTTAACTTTTAGAATGGAACATCATATCTTAAGACGGTCATATATTTTCATGGGATGGTTCAAATGCTATGATTCAAATTGTGATGGAGAGAAAATATCATGATCTACAACTTTGTAAAGAAGTCATTGCCAAAATCGAGATGCATGCAAAGATATACTCCCTCCGTCTCATTTAGTAGAACTACTTTTAGTAAATAAAATTTACATATTCAGAAACTACATTAAAACCGCTACAAAACCTGATCAAGAAAATTTAAATTTGATAAAAGTTAGATATATAAAGTAAAAGATTAAGAACAATGCACGTTGACCGGAGAATAGTGGATGGGAACCTTTAAATGGGACGGAGGGAGTATATACTAATCGGGATCTTTACTATATACGGAGTATAATGTTATTTTTTTAAAATTTCAGGGGGCATAGCCCTACCTGACCTAGGGGACTAGGGGTAGATCCACCCGTGCACATAATAAGAGAGGTATTCATGTTTGAGTGGATCCAAACAATAGAATGGACTCAACTGTTCCCGATTCCTTAGTTTGATCTGATTGGTCAGTGACCAATAAAAATTCAACCCAGGCCAACCGGATCAAACACAAAGGAACTCATATTTCGTGTAATATCTATAGACAAGTCTTGTATTTACATGAAAAATTTGACATTTATCTATAGGAAAAGTACAAAAAAAGGTACCTGTGTATGAGCCATTTTCAGATATGGGCACATGTTTCATATTTTCACAAAGTGGGACATGTGTTTCAATTCCGTTATTACAGCTGGATCATGGCGTCTAACTTCGATTTTTGAAAGTCTCCGAAAAATTAAAAGAAAAATACTGGGAGGTGTGCCTCATCAAGGAGATCAACAAACTATCGTTCTCTTTGGATTTTTCAGCTCTATTTGGATTATTTTTTTAAAAAGAATTCGCTAATATCACTTTTCCGGTGAACTTTCTAGCAACAGGGTGACTGAAAACAAAAAAAGAAAGATGGTCTGGATGTCTTCTTGATGAGGCACACCTCCTATTATTTTACGTTTAATTTTTCGGAGATTTTTTAAATTCGAAGTTAATTGTCTAACAACGTTATACGTCATTGTCCCCCAATTGTGATAACAAATTTGAGACACATGTCACACTTTGTCAGAAAATGAAACACATGTCAATATCTGAAAATGATCCAAACTAGAGGTACATTTTCTATATTTTTCCCTTTATCTAAATAGAACTAAAACATGTGAAAAGTGTCATGGTAGTACTAATACTTTTGAGTGTAGTATCATACGACTAAAATAAGGATGGAATGCCAAAATTTCCATACACCTCTCTTCTTCTATTCACGAATCACGACCTCCAATTCTCCAAAGCTCCTCTAATTTCTTTCTTCCCCATCATGTAAACCAATGATCAATTGTTTTCTTGTCTTCTGGAATTCATTTTTATTAATCGAGGATTAATTCCATAAAATAATTAATCCTGGTTTATTTAATTTTAAACTTTCAAATTATTTTTCTCACTAGTTGAACATGAAATTGCCATAATTGTTGTGTTATTGAATATTGATTTGAAAAAAATGTCACTATTATGATATTACATTTATTAAGATGGCAGTTGTACTGTATATGTTCATTAAAGTTTCAGAGCAAGGTATGACATTTTCGCAGAGTGAAAATGACAACTTCTTGATTACTTCAGGACAAATATGACATTTTTTAAAAGACGAAAGGAAGAATGATTGTCATGTTTTTACATGTGTAAATGCCAATTTCATGTTCCTTATGAAGGCACAACAATTATTTGAGTATTTTGAGTTCACTTTCTATCAGGTAAGTTCACTACCACCTGTACATGTTTGTTCAACCAAATGAAAAAAAGGAGTCTGGTTGATTTTTAGTAGACGATTTTAGACTATTTGCTATTATGTGAGCTTGGTGAATTATTTGATGAGTCATTTTATTTGTCGTATTAAGTCATGTTATTATCTGGCATAGTCAAGATTATGTCAATACTTTTGTTTCAAGATTTTAATGATGTGTTTATCCAAACGTCACCGTAAAAAGAACTAATATTTAAAGCGAAAGATTAAGTGATATGTACTCGGGAACAAGTTCCCACAGAGTTATCAGAGTTTCAGAGAGTCCGGTATATTTAGTGAGTCGCTCCCCTGAGCTGTCGGATTGGCACCTTTGAGTACATATCACGGGACCACAGTGTTAAAATTAACCACAAAGAGTTTTACAGAAAGTTTATGAGATCTCTTTCAGAAAGTTTTACAGAAATGTTTTGAGAAAGTATTTTGAGATCTCTCCTCAGTTTTAAGAAATTATTTCAGAAAGTATTTCTTTTGAGATCTCTTTCAGAAGCTATTTGAGAATGTTATTTGTGAAGTATTTGTTAGGTGTATGCTTATAGTCTAAATTTATCTATTGATAAATTGGCAGACTTCTAGATAATTTTTGTGGATCCATAGTGACTTACTAAGCGTAAAGCTTATTAGTGTTCTTTCTTCGCATGTACAGATACTGAGGGTAAGGCAAAGGCCTAGGAAGATGATGAAGGAGTGGAACGCGTGCCAAGATGAGTTAACGGGAACGACCTTGGCAGCTTCTAGCTAGTTATTATTTTATTTCAGTATTTCAATTGTTACAATAAAGAGATTATTATTACTTAATTTATTTGAGGATTTGAAGTTTGAATAAATTCCTGGACATAGGTGGTTATCACATTTGCTGGTGATAACTAGAGTTTATTGAGTTTTTATTGGAATTACATTTTAGTTATATTTGAGATTTTATCAGGGTTATTTATCCAACAAACGGCCGTTATATTGCAGTTTATTTTTAAAAGTAGTATGCTAGTGTAACGTTCTCTTTAATCCTGAGAGGGGCGTTACAGAAAGAGAAAGAGAAGAAGTAATAGGATGAAGAGCAATATGAGGAATACTTGGATTTCTGGAATTATTGAAACTTCTGATTAGAAAATTGAACGGAGAAGATCAGATGTAGTAGGATGGAGTCAAATACGTACTATTTTTTGGTTTGGGAATATGATGTACTAAAGAAAAATATGTCCATGCAATTTTCAACCAGATTAGATAAGAGTAGGGAACTTCAAAAAGCTTAGACTGAAAACTCAATGTAACATAATAAAGTTTGGACCGAAATTGAGACAATAATAAGTGGAACACAGGTGAAACACACATGTGTTTTTAAGAGGTTAAACCGGTTCCCCAATTAATGGCCCCCAATTTGTTAAAAATTTATTAGTATTATATTTTTATATAGTACTACGTAATATTATATATTAATACTAATCAATAAAATATAGTGAGTAATGAAGAAAAATATAAATCCATCATATTTTTCATCCGTTCTTTTAGTTCTCTTTTATTCAAATTGCTTGAGTAATGAGTATAAATTTTTATATTGAGTTTTTATTTTATTTTATTAATATATGGCATAAGTTTTACATTTTTAACCGGGCTCTAGTGAAACCATGCATACAATAAAGTATGAGTTGCTTATAATTCTGTAAGCTAAGTCTAAGGAGGCGTTTACTTCGCTGCTAAAGTCACAGTTAGGTTAGTAAGACAGATGAAGTAAACACGCAAGTTGCTTAAAACGCTGCTTACTAACCGAAAGAGATGCTTAAAGTGCCACTTACTAAGCATACCAGCCCCCCATGTATTAATTAAGCGGCACTTTAAGCTTTTTCAGTTTCCGAGTTTACCCTTACCTTTACCCCTTGCCCTTACCCTATTGCTACCCAACTACCCCGCCCTACCACACCTTACCCCGACCCCACCCTGACCCCCACCCCACCCCACCCATGACCCGACCATACCCCACCCCACCTTCCCTACCCCACCCCCTCACCCCTTACCCTACCCCTGTGGCCTGTACCCCCTACCACCTTCCCCTACCTTGACCCGACTCCACACCTACCCCTTTACCCCCTACGCCCACCCCCACCCTTGACCCGACCATTACCCTGCCCTACCCTACCTTACCCCGACCCCACCTTGACCCCCAACCCCACCCCACCCTTGACCCGACCATACCCCACCCCCACCTTACCCTACCTGCCCTACCCGACCCCTCCACTACCTGCCCTACCCCACCCTCACCCCTTACCCCCCACCCCTGTACCCCCTACCACCTTCCCCTACCTTGACCCGACCCTGACCCCACCTACATCCGCCCCTACCCCTTTACACCCTACCCCCACTCTTGACCTAACCATACCCCACCCCCACCTTACCCCTACCCTCCACCACCTGACCTACTCCACCCCACCCTCACCCTTACCCCTTCCCCTACCTTGACCCCACCCCGACCCCAACCCTACCCCCGCCCCCTTTCCCTACCTCGACCCACCCCTACCCCCACCCCACCTTACCCCTACCCCCGTACCCTCCACCACCTGCCCTACCCCACCCTCACCCTTTACCCTACCCCTTTACCCCCTACCACCTTCCCCTACCTTGACCCGACCCTTACCTCGACCCCACCCCCCACCCCTTGCCCCTACCTCGACCCACCTCTACCCCACCCCCACCCTTGACTCAACCATACCCCACCCCACCTTACCCCTACCCCTACGAGTTGGGGGGTTGGTATGGGTGGGAGTAGGGGTGGAGGGTAAGGTCGTGGTAAGGGTAGGGAGTAGGGAAGGGGTGGGGGTCAAGGGTGTGGAATTGGGGGTAGGGTGAGGGGTGGGGGTACAGGGCGGGGTAGGGGTTAAGGGTGTGTGTAAGCGACTAAGCATACGAGGTGACCCCATATATTATATTATATACTTGTGTTGATGAATGTTTGTGTGTGTATATATCGATAGGGTTATTTTGGACATTTTAATGTTAAACGATGTTTTAAATCCTTTGAAGTAAACAACAGCTTACAACACTGCTTAGTTTATGCGCCGCTTATTAACGCGAGTCTTAATAAGCACCGTTTACAAACCCGTGAAGTAAACGTGTCCTAAATCTTGATTTTGAACCTCACATTTGATTACAGTTTGAGATGGAAGTGTGCACAAATCGATCTTGTAAAAACCCACCCATGCGACTATGCAAAAAGTATATAGCACTTATAATTATAGGGCTTTTTCCTTCAATATTATCAATTTCAAGCTCATTTCCACAAATATGATCATTTTTTAAAAGGACAAAAATGTAACTAAGAATATCACATATTTGGAAAACATTATGTTACTGTATTTTTTATGTACAAATTTTTATGTAACTATTCAATTTTAATGTCACTATCAAATGTCACTGCGTCCACTGCCCGTGTCACTGTGCCGCCGCCCGTGTCACTGCTGCCACCCGCCCGCGTCACTGCTGCCACCGCCCGTGTCACTACCGCCACTGCACATGTCACTACCGACACTGCTCGTGTCACTGATGCCTTGAGAACATGTCACTGCGATAGTTGGAAAATCTTTTGTGACTTTTTTCGGCAAATCTGTCCCCCAACACTGCCACCCCGCCACACTCTCGGCACCCCCTGCTCCTCGTATACCGTCCACTAACCCTGCTCCTCCCCATCCCCATGACCCAGCCCCTAGCACCCTGTGCCCCCAACCCCCTGACCAACCCCCAAATCCCCTGCCGCCACCGCCGGTGGCCGCCTCCTGCCCATCTCCGCCACCGTTCCGGCTGATAACCGCCGCGCCGCCTGCCACCGCCGCCCCATTCCATCTTCAGCCACTACCGCCACAGTGACGCCATCAGCCACCTAGCCCTAGCCACACCACTCCACCCCTGCCCCTCGCTAGCCCACACCCTAGCACCCCAACCCCTGTTCACAGCCTCCAACCAAACCAGATCTAGCCCAGATCTAACCCAAATACAACCGCTACACCACACTCCGTCCTCAGCACACTTACAATGGCGGCAGCAGTGTAGCAAGATGAAAATGCCGCTTCATCGAAGCCCCAATCACCGTCCTAGCCACCTGTGGTTTGTTAAAAGCACCGCTGCATCGAAGCCCCAGCCACACGCTGCAAAATCCAGGTACACATTCGGACAGAAGAAGTAGAAGAAGAGAGGTTAAGGCTGAAGGCGGCTTTGGTGATGAAGTCGGCGGCAAATCGGCGAGGTGCGGCGTGGCGGCGAGATGTGGCGGAGAGGTGCGGCGTGGCGGCGCGGCGCGGTGCGGCGGGGCAATAGAGACGGAGAGCTCGATGGGCAGGATGGCGCAACAATGGAGGAGAGCTCGATCAGTGAAGGGGAATAGAAGAGAGAGGCGCAGAGGGTTGGGGGCAGATCGATGGATTGGGGGAGAGATAAGGTCACTTTTGTGTCCAGCTTAAAAATAATCATATTTTTGTCTTCCCAAACTCTCTAAGTAATACTATCGTACTTTTGTCATTTTTTCATAATTATAATATAGGCTGATGAAAGTATTATAGAAATTTGAAATGAAATAATATGTTGTATAACTGAACATGATAATTAAATATGTTAAACAACTTTATTTATTATATCTAAAACTTCAATCGGGAAGGTATTCAAATGAATTCTTGAAGATAACTGCGCTTTAACAGCGCATTTATCTTCAAGAATTTATTTGAATGCCTTCCTAATTTAATTGTTAGCTGAAATTTGGTATGAGTAAACTAAACTTAATGAATAAGATTCTCAAAAAAATTCATCAAAAAATTCCACCGAGAACTGCCCCAAATGGCGACGGCCGGACAGAGCTTCCTATATAAGGGCTTATTTGATCTTTTTTTGTTAGTACGTGGGCTTATTAGCCCCTTTTTCCTCAGTTATTTGTGGAGACTCAATGAATTAAAATTTTGTGTTTCGTGTTTTTTCGAGCTCATGAAAACTCCAATAGTTAGAACTTCATATTGGTATCATATGAAAGATCATAAAAATTCTTGAATTTTGATATATGTTTTGAAACTTTTGAATAATAAATTAAAAAGTTATAAAAGTTTTAACAAATAGGGATTATAATGATTCCAGGATGATGCAAGGATGATGTCATCCCCACATCCATGCAATGCATCCTCCCCTCTTCCTTCCCCATTTCTTTTCTTTTTCCTTTTCATTCCTATCAACACACTTTCTATTTCTAACACCTTCCATCGCTTTTCCCAGTTTTAATACCCCATTTAGTCTACCACTACATGAAATTAGGAGTCTAAAAATTTCATCGTTAGCATTTTGGACTCCTAATACTACATCATTCCAAATAGTCTTATGAAACACCTCAGTACGTGTACCGGTGTACACGTGTTCAGACATTATCTATTTATATGGAGTGGAAAGAATAGATCAAAATATATGAGAGATTGTATGCATCACTTTAATTAAAGGCGTAATCTATTTATCCGGCCGAAGAGAAAGATTTAACTTCATCATAACTAATGTTAACTCACCAGGATTGTAGAAAACAGATATCCCAAAATCAATGACCTTTAATGTAGCAATGTTATTAGTGCTTCCACCAAACATAAAATTTTCAAATTTGATATCACGATGTATCACCCCATTGTTGTGCAACACCTGCATTGTAAAAAAGAAACATGTAAACAGCTTTTAAAAGAAATTTAAGAGGTGTATTTTATATGAATTATAGATTTTTTATATAACTAGATTTTTTTAATTAGTGTGTTTTAAATATATATATATATATATATATATATATATATATATATATATATATATATATATATATATATATATATATATATATATATATATATATATAAAGGAAATTTTAAGATCCATAGACTTTTTATGAATGAATTTTGTTGGTTTATATAACTCTAGCCTATGAATTTTGTATGGATGATATTTATCAATTTTATGGAAAATAGAAGTTTAAAAATCATATTAACTAACATTCTAAAGTTTAAACATCGTAAGAAGTCGAATACATGAATACATGTTAAGTTTCAACATTCTTAAGTTTAAACATCATATTAACTATTATTCTTAAGTTGCTTAAAAATGTAATTATTTATTACTTTTAAAATATTTTAAACTTAATAAGAAAAGAACACAACCTTTTGAACTTTCTCTCTTTTCCTCTCTTTTCTTTCATTATTTTTCATGTTATTAACTTTTGGGGAAAATGGTGGAATAAAGCAAAATGACTCACTAAGGTTTTTGTGCTTCTTTCTTATGAAGCAACAATCAGTGCATGCAATTTTCGCCGCGATTTTCACTATGGGTCAACCGGAAACAGTCTTTATGTGCTTTAGTATAGGGGTAAGACTGTGTAGATCCGACCCCCCTTTACCCTATCCACCGTAGGCGGGGAGCCTTTGCAGCACTAGGGTAATGATGATGATGATACGATGACTTTCAAGTTGTCCATTATAAACTACCTTCTATGTCTTTTTTCGTCACAAATGATAAAATAATAAAAAATATATTTTATGTTTTTATTTAACTTCCATTTTGTCCGTATTGAGGTATAGCTAGCTCCTTGCTAAGATTTTACATTTGTGAAAGGATAAAAATAACAGTTTTTAATAAGCCGGCCCGATTCTGGAACCGAGTCAATGCGTATATATTTATAATGAGTAAAAGATGAAAGTTAAGGTATGCGGAAGCCTTTGTAGAGAGGAAGAAAAAACAATACTCCGTATATGTTTGGTGTCGTTAACAATGAGTTAAAATTCCGCAAAAATCAATGATTTATAACATTATAAAATTGAAGAGAGTCTGAATACATCCAAACTGTTGAAACCCTTGAATTTTTAAATATTTGCTACCCATTCCCAAAATAAAACACCCCCAAATTAAAGTAATCTTTGTTATAAGAGACATGTCCTGTGATTTGAATTAATTTGACTACTAGTATTATGAGTATTATGTACTAGTAGTTGTAGCGTTTGATATGTTTTTAACTTTATCCAGTTCTACTACGTGACTGTTCAAGAGTGAATCGAACAACCGCGACAGGTTTAGTGAATTTTCATATAGTGTTTTATTACATCATATTTTACCAGTGTAGCTGTGTAGGACTTCAATAAATATGAACCTTTTTTGCTAGCCAAGTGTGAATCAGACCTTTTTTTAGGTTAAGGGATTGAACTAAACCAACCAACCAAGAACAAGGTTATTTGGCCTTTTATATCTTATAAAATGAGATGAATTAGAGAGCACATATTATATACCTGAATTATTTCCACAAGAGTCCTAATAATTGTTGAAGCCTCCTTCTCCGGTAGCGGCACCCTATGTAGAATATAGTCTAATGTCTTTCCCTTCAACAACTCCGTTACAATGTGCAGTTCATTGTCATCTTCACAAACATCTTTTATAGAGACAATGTTTGGATGATTCTTTAAATGCCTTAAAATCGCAATCTCTCTTCTCACGTGTTCAACCCTGTCCTTACTCTCCAACTCCATTTTAGACATAGTTTTGCAAGCCAATTTCTCACCACTAGACAAATCTATACATTCGCGTACAACCCCATATGATCCGCGCCCGAGCACTTGGTCATGAAAAATCATGTATTTTTCATTAATCTTCTGCCCTGTCGGATTTCTCGATACCACAACCTTCTTTCTAAAAGGATAGGGCGTAGAAAACCAATTGCCCATAGTTTTCACAATTCACTAAAATTGGAGTAAGACTATTATAAAATTAATGTAAAATGGAACTAATTAAAACTAAATGAGCTACAGTATAAAAGATCAGATGACTTTTTGTATGCGACTTCAAAAAAAAGTGTTTTTTTTGTATGCGACTTCAAGTTTATATGAATAGGACTTTACAGATTTCCTAAGGAATGTCACATGTTACGTTTAAATATCAATCGATATAAAGATGCCTTGGAATATGGTTAAAGTATAACTTGTTATCATGATGATAATTATTAATGTTATATAATATGACAAAATATCAATTCGATGAGGTTATATAGAAGAAAAGAATCCCATAAAGTCGTTAAGATAAATTTATATTTTGTTTAAGGTGAATATGGTACCCATAAAGAAATGAGGATACTGTATGTATAATACATTTGATTGGTCCAAGTGATTATTACTATATTATTGATGTTTAAACTATGTAAATTCTACGGGTATTCCAAAGCTAGCTACTACCATACCTTACGTATGTGGACCAATTACAATGTTGCGATTGAACAATTTCCATATTAATAAATGATGACATAATGATATGAACCACTCAAATGTAATGTAGAGACGACACTCATTTATTTATGATATATCTGAACACTCATCTTAAATTATTCAATTACAAAATTCTAATTGATCCATGTGGACAAAGTAGAGAACCTTAAGGGCACCATATAGAATTTGCTTTGTTATTGTACTAATACTTTAAGTAATACTAGACAAAGTACCCGTGCGATGCACGAGGTGTATCTAGAATAAAATAATATTTTATTTAAAATATGAAGTATATTTTATTATGATGATAGGTAATGTGCATTTTTATCAAACAAAAAAATATTTTTTTAAATTAGTTTATATGTCGTAGCTTTGAGTTTTACTCCATTTCTAATAGTAGCTATAAGAAAATAAAAAATTTGGTTCATATGAAAAATTGCAAGTAAAAATTTAATTAAACGATAAAGTATAACAATAAACTCTATGTGATAATGGATTTAATAATAGTATTATTATTAAGGGTCTTATAAAACTATAAAAAAAGAAAAAATCATAAATGTTCATACTTTACAAAAAGTATAGTAAAATTTCAAAAACTTCTTTGTAGGCCACATTATTAGTGGTGTTGATAGCACGACCCTCATCATCACATATAAAAATCTTTAAGCCATTTTTTTGAAGTGACCCATGACATGATAACATAGAATTGATCATGCGTCAAAACATATTTTGAAAGATTTATTACTGTTGGAGATATTTTATTGTGAATCAAGTTGGTCATAGATTAGCTTTATATTTAATCCTTGTATTTAATTAGTGCATGAACTAGATAGAAATCAGGCCAAGTGTTAGGCCCATTTAAACAGGCTAAAAGCTTGGTACGCCTAACCTAAACCTCGCCTATAAAAAGGGAGCCGAGGTTTAGGAAAAGGTTGAACGTCGTACTTATTATTCATAGCCTTACGCATATCATTCTGCTGTACGCTTCCACGGTTTATCAACGAAGGTTTTACGGTGATTCATTCTGTGTTCATCTTTACGTTTAATCTTCCTTGTTAGATCGATTATTCATTGCTGTTACAGAAACAGGGACTAACAATTGGTATCAGAGCAGATCGAGAACGATCAAAAGAACTCCTGCAGAATACTCTGTTTTTGTTAACGTAGTTCATTCTGTCGATTTTTTGCTCTGTAATTTTGTTTCTTGTTCAAAAGTTGTAAAAGTTACACCTTTGGAATCGCCTTTTCAAAGCGATCAAAGGGTATACTTCAGTTTGTGTTTTACGCAATTTTAGATTTCGAAATATCTCGAGCTAGGCATCTCGACATCCTACTTCTTCACAGGTTCTGCTACGTTTTTCGAGCTGAAAACTTTACCAGAAGATCTCGACATTCTACTCTACAGGAAACTACCTTCAGATTTTGTTTATCTGATTTTTACAGGTTGCAGGATTTCGACATTGAGGATTTCGACATCTAGGATTTCGACATCTTGATTTCGAGAAAAGGATTCGACATCTGGTCTCGACATTTGACTTATCAGATTAAGATTTCGAGTGATTAACTTCTCGACATTTCAAATCTCGAGATCAGCATCTCGAAATTTGAAATCTCGAGATCCCTAATCTCGAGATCCTTAATCTCGAGCTCAAATCTCGATATCGGGCCTCCTTTATCGAAATCTGAGATTTCGATATTCAGATCTCGACATCTGATTTTTCGACTTTCTGCCTCTGAAAATTTTTTGATCAATTTTCTCGAACGGTCAGTTTAGTACAGCAATGGCTTCAGAATACAATGCACAAGGGAACAGCAGTACCCCTCCTAGCCTCCGGAAGGGAGAATATCAAATGTGGAGGAACATATTTCTAAATTTCCTTGAGCACAAAGAGAACTCTGCTGCGATGCTCGAATCTTTGCTTGAAGGACCAGCTGAACTCATGATTTCAGTTGGTGGAGGTCCAGAAAATAATCCTCCTATTCTTCCAGAAATAAGGAGAAAAGTGCCGTCTGAATACACAGAAGCTGACAAGCTCAGACTTCGTGGTGACCTTATGGCCAAAACGTACCTCCTTCAAGCAATACCAAATGAAGTTTATGTTCTCATAGATAGCATGCAGACAACTAAGGAAATGTGGGATGAAATAGAGAAGCTGCTACAAGGCACAAGCATCAGCCTCAAAACAAAGAAGACTACAATCCTCATCGTTTATGACTCCTTCAAAGCAGGTCCAGGAGAACCATTGAATGAGACTTACAACAGACTTGTTCAACTGGTAAATGAACTCAGAAAGATCAAAGTATTCAGGTCCAATCTAGAACTGAATATTAGATTTTTATCCAGCCTGCATCCTGCATGGGAAAAGACAGTGAAGGATGTCAGATCTCGGATAGATCTGGACGAAATTGACCTCTGCACACTCTATGAACATCTGAAGCAATTCGTCAACGAGGTTGCCTGTGCTGAGGATCATCACACCACAAACCCCTTAGCTCTTGTAATGGATGCTCAGCCGAGAAGGACAACCACTTCACTAAAGAAGAAAAAGAAGAAGGTGGTGGTTGAATCAGATGATGATGAGAGTGACGAGGACAAATCTGATCTAGAGGCTGAGCTAGCAGACTTACAGAAAAAGATGGCATTGCTTGCCAAAAGATTTGCTAAGAAGAACAACTCCTCCAACAGGCTGAGAACTTCCTCCTCAAACTACAAGCAGAAGAACCATGATCAAGGATCTTCTAGGAAGGCATCATCAGCAGAAGAAGCTCCTAAATGCTATAATTGCGGCAAACCAGGACATGTGATCAAAGACTGCCGCCTCCCAAAGAAGAAAGATGCTAACTTCTACAAGCAGAAGATGCTGTGGAATAAGCAGAAAATGCTGATGGTGCAGAAAGAAGAAGAAACATCTGCCATGATTGCTGAGAATGAGAACTGGGCAGAAGATTCTTCTGAGGAGGAGGAGGAGGAAGACAACTATGCCCTTATGGCAAGTGTGGAGGGAAATGAAAGAAAGGGTGATGCAGCGATCCCCGAAAGCGAGTGCTCAACTAGCTCTGTAAGTACCTCACATACTTCTCTAAATAATCAAATGCAGTCCTTACTTGAGAAGGACAATCTAATCAAAGAACTAAAGGAGAGACTAGACAATAATCATAGAGTTCTGAAACAGAATCTAGACCAAAAGTCTTCCTTAAGTATTCAACTTGAAATTGCAAAAGATCAAGTCAAAAAGGTGTCCTCAGATTTTGAAAGCTTTGAACTGAAGATAGCTGAATTAACTAGGAAATTTGAGGACAGTGAACGGGAAAAAAGCACAGCAAAGGCTGAATGCGATTTTTTGCATAACAAAAGAAGAACGCTTTTAAATAAAGTAAAAGAACTAGAAGATCTAGCTGCTAGAAGAGGTCAATCTGAACAAACTGTTTTTCTGCTTAACAGCAAACAAAAGGATGACCGATTCTACAATGCTAAAACAGGACTGGGCATAACCAACCCACGTAATCTTTAGAAAGTTAACTGTCTTCAAATTTACAACAAAGATTACATGGGACTAGGGTTTGGCGAGAAAATGTATTTTCGAAGTGATGAAGAAAATGCTAAAGCAGAAGAAGAAAAGAGAAAGAAACCAAAACCTGCGATTTCTTGTGATTATCCCTCAGTAAATGAAAAACAACTTTCAGAAGAAAAACCTACTTCCTGCTTTAGTGAATGCCTTGACCCTTATGCCAAAGATATTCCTCACATAGGACACCCTCTAGACCCTCCCCCAAGAGTAGGTATTGCTAAAACTGGTGAGGAACCATGCATATTTCCCATGGCTCAAAAGCTCAAAAACCTACAGAAAACTCTTGATGACGAGAGAGAGAGATTTGAAACTGAAAAGAAAGGTTTTGAGCGCAACTGGCAGGAACTCCTTCAAAAATTTAATGATTTGAGTGAGCAGTTTCATGCTAAAACAGACCCTTCTACGACCAAGCATGACAGCTCACACACCTCACATGAGAAAAACAATGTTTTTAAAGGTTCGTCCACTCATCTCTCTTCTCCTTTGTTTACAGGGAAGGAAGTGAATAAGGAAGGAGAAGAGAAGAATGAGTGGAGGAAAAAGAGGAAGGAAATCGCAGATGGCAAAAAGAAAGTTTTCGAGAACAATGCCAGCCCTAGATCTAGTTCAATTTTTTACTCAAAAGTTAATTGTAATTCTGTCTCTACAAAGCAAACTTCTAGTAGTTCAGTCTTGAGTCCCAAGCTGAATATTTCTGAGACATCTTCAAGACAAAGTTCTATTTATAATACAAGTGTTGCTTATGGTTATTCTGTTCCAGATCCCCATAATTATGAATGTGATGTGAATGTTGTTAAATCAAAGCCTCCCAGAAAGCTTAAACCTGAAAAAGAAACCAAGAAAGGAACTTCTAAGGAAACGTTTTGTATTCCTGATATGAAATATGCCCTTAAAGTTCATTCTAGGAAACATCTTAATCGGCTTTCTAAGGAGGAGATTTTCAAAACCAAACTTAAGAAACAACCGTTCAATCACAAAGCACCTGTCTACTCTCCTCCTGAACCTAAAATGGAAAGATGGGTCCCCAAGATAAGACCCGTCAAAGCTGAAACTGAGAGGTGGGTCC